AAACACTTGTATAGAAAATAAGAGAGAGGAAAAAAGAGGGAAAAAATACAGTATAAGATAAACAATAAACTCTAAGCTGAATGCAGAAAGTAAACAATAATATTTCTGTCTGACGCCTTTACAAAGCTTATTACAGTCGACTGTTATGTTGTTATTATGGGGGGTGTTGCTGCATTACAGGAGCTGTGCAGGCGTTCAGCAGCACTTTGCAGGTTAATTTCCTCCGTTAACACCTCTAATAACTTCACACATGTAAAGAAATGTTGTGTCTGTGAATCTGCCACTCAACACTGGCAGCAGCGATCATACTATTGCTTATTCATAAGTCCTGTATGTTTCGTACTGCTCTTAAAAGGGGTAATTTGAGCTGCATGGGTCTCTGCGTTTTGCTGGGGCGCTGATGGATAGCAGGGCTTCCTGTGTTATTCTACCCCCTGTTCTTAGATGTAGTCCATATTTTTGATCATTAGTGATCATCTCTTCAGTCAGAGATTGCTGTATTTAATGTCCTCTTACCTGTTTTTTTATCTAAACGTCACTTAACCTCATTGACCAGTGGGTCCGATGCAGCCGACTCGATGGAGATGCTGATTGAGCAAGTTACTTCATGTGGCTTCAAAATTGAGAATTTTAGAGTGTGATTGCAATTAAAGGATCACTGTGTATCATCTAGGGGTGTAGGTGCAGATTACAACCCCCTTGCCTCACCCTCCCAATCCAAGTGTGTAGGAGAAACTATGGTTGTCGTAGAAGGCCGATCCTGTCTACAGCCGGTATTTGGTTTGCCCTTTCTGGGCAACTGTAGGCAGCGGCTCATTCGAAGGTAACGAAAACACAATTATTGTTATTTTTTAGTTTACTGTACGACTGGCGAATGAAAACCTATTAAGATTATATTCCATATTCTTCCAATAGATCCTCATAAAGGTTACACGCTGGGCCTTTAGATAGTTAATGCTATTATTTTTTGTCCTGATTGCCCACCCATACTGGCTGATATGTATAGGGTGCTCATGAGTTAGCAGAAAGCGTTGCTCTGTGACCCTGAAATTGTCAGTTGAGCCTGCCATATGGTCACTGTATCACATGGTGACTGTTTATTTATATCTCTGGTGTGTGTGTGCTCACATTGGGGTCAAGTTGGCAGACATGCTCATCAAAGATATAGTGGCTGACCTCACCTACTGTAAGTCAGAGAGGGGTCAGCTGGCCATGTTGGGTTTGGCTGGTCGTGGTTTTTTTTGGCTCAAAATGAGCCAAACGTGAACCTTTAATAGTGACCTATTGGACTCTCTTTAGAGTGGAAAGTAAATAGTGATAGAAATAATTATTATAATTATTTATCTTTTAGCAGATGCATCTCTAGGATTTGTATATCTTCCAACGCTAACTGAAAGTAATGATTTTAATGCTATGTTTCTATGTGTCAATGTGAATCACAAAGGGGGTCTGAATGCAATGCAGTCAAACATATTATTATATTACAAAAGAAATGTTCAGACCACATTATTAGTTACATAATGGCCACTCATGACAGATCTTTTTATGGCATTGTGTTTAAAATATACATCGAAAGGAAATTCTAAACACCTACTCAGTCTGGCTACAAGACTTTATGGCTGGGAACCTCATGACTCAGTCCCGAATTAATTAATTCTGTTATTCTGATTTTATTACGTAAATATTCCTACTGCATCCCAAGTTTTGATTTGAATACCTTCTAAGTGTGTAGGAGAAACTACAGTGGCCATAAAAACCATGAAAGGTCCTATCTAGTGCCAGCGTTTGTCCATTCTGGGCTACTGTAGAAACACTTCCCATTCTAAGGTAATAAAAACACAACACATCTTATTTTCAGGTGTTTATAAATGAATGCAAACATTCCTATGAATAGTATATTCCCATTCTGCCAGTGGATTCTCCTAAATGTTTCATACTGGACCTGTAAGGGTTTCTGTTGGACATCATTCATATTTTATTTTCCTAAATGTAATGTGATTATCTTATCCTGCTCTCTCTTTAAAGTGTTTTCGTTTAGATTAATGAATAATCCAAAAAGTCTCAGTCTCAGTCAGCAGAGGAAAAAAGTCTTGCATCAGTGTGAGAAACTTGAGCTGTGGCATCAGTTTGTGCGATTTAGATTCCTTTGAGTGCGACAGCCACACAGGACATGCATCGCAGCTCCATCTAGGTTTGGTCTGACCACTAAATAACAATTTAGTGCACAATAGGTGTTAATTTGTATAGATACTTCACTGGAAACAGTTAGTGAACACTTTTCTTTGGGATAACTTCTTCAGGAGAAAGTAGTTCCAAAATTGTTCACAGTGCAATTTGTGGATTGTCCAAACAAAAGCGGACTTCTGGACAGATGCTGTGATTTGAGGTAGTTTGTCAAATCTGTGAGCCCCAAAAATGAAACTCCATTCACTTCCATTGTGTTGGACACCAGATACGGTAACTATGAAATGAGCGTACCAAAGGCTGGATAAATAAAACTATCCGCATGGGTAGATATCTCTTGCGGTAAGTAAGAAAATATTTGTGAATCATCGCATTAGGGCTTGTTTTCTCAGCTCCAGAACAAGCCTTTTGTTGTGTCATGAATGTTTGTACAATGTGAGAACCACCCTGCGAATTCATCATTGTGAACATGAAATCTGAATTAGTTTTTGTTCTGTTCTATTTCATTGTGCTTGAACGGAGTTGGATGCATCCATTAGGCTCTGTTTACAGTCACCTGAGACATATGAGAAGGATTGAAAGTCCGCCTTGGTAATAATGCTTTAAAAGCTTGCTGCCTCGTAACTTTTATTTTTATTGACACATCCACGTCTGGATGTTTGTGATTGTGTATTCACTGCACCAAGCCAGTGGTTCATTCAGGATAGGTTGACTTGAGAAAGGTCAAAAATACATATGCCATGAATTACTGTATCTCTGGGGGGAAATGTAAAGTACATGGTTGTAACTGGGTTATATCTTAAGTTGAAACCACCCATCTGGTTTATTCATCTACATAAACAGGCACATGGAGAACCAAATAGAGTATCCAGCCATTTCTTGCTAGTATAATTCAGTTTCAAGGTAAACAGAGATGGTATAAATAGCCAAAAATGGCATTCTTTGTGGTTTGAGTGCAGTGAGTAGCTCCTCTGTCTGTGCACTGGCTTGAGCATATCGTTATGTGTTCAAGAGTGTAATTAAAGCAGCCATTATTGGGCACTGAGATACATTCTTGGTCTGCATATTTTTTCATTTGCAACAAAAACATCGCCCTCGTGAATTGTCTATTCATCTGTCATCCCCCATCTTAGCCCCAAGCCAGCTGCAAAGAATAAAAATGGACTAGTGGCCTTGCCATTTGGCAAAACCTTTTGAGGCATGTGTAATGTGAGCCATGCATAACTATGAGATGAGGTAATTTAATTGTTCTAAGTGTAGGTTAAAGTCAGTCCGCCCCCTGGCTGGCTAGAGTGTTGCAGCCTACTTTTTTGGGCATACTCTGCTCTGACGAGCTTGCAGAGCTGTGCACATAAACTTGTACAGATGTCATCTGACTTCTATAAAAGCTAATGGAGCCCAACATCAAAAGCCATTCCCTGAACATTATCAGTGTCCACTGTGCTTGTTGGGGCAGTGGAAAATGTAACTCTTCAAACGAGATTTACCTGAGTCAATAGTAACCTTTTATTTTCTCTTGTAAACTAATTTTCTGTATCTTTTCCTTGACAATCAAACAGTTTGATTAACATGTTTACATAGTTCACAGGAAAGTCATTTCTCCAGTAACCACAAATTATATAATGTGTTTAGTCTGTTGTGTACTGCGAGGACGTGTGCAACCCTAGAGAAATTATTCTGTCCACAAAATAAGAGAAGAAAAGAAAAAAAGGACTTTCATAGTGTTAAATGTTGATGATAAATAGAGCTTTGTATCGAAACTCAACAATGTTCTTGTCCCAAACGTAATGTGACGGTAGAATGGAATATCAAAAACCATCAAGTACCAAAAGTGAGCATCAAACCGTCTGATTCTTCCTGCGTATTACTGTGATCGTTGTCCATTCTGTGTACAGCTGTTTTACAACAATTAATACAATAAAACACACATTTGTTTATACTCAGGAGGGTGTGTTACCAAAAGTATTGATCTTCTTTAATTCTTTCCTCTTTAAGTTTCCACCCCACAAGACACGCCACAGTTTGTATATACAAATATGGTTTTGCATCCTGTCAGTACATGGGCAGTCGGGCGCAAGTAAATTCAAAACACAGAATGAAATGCAGATTTTGCATTTACATACACAAATAACCCAGAATGATTGAGCAACAATGCACGGTAATCAATTTGTGCTTGCACTGATTATATTATATAATAGATTTAAACTAAATGTTATATGTAACTACACTAAACGTATCAGTGCACATGTAAACAAACACACTGACAGATGGCAGACAATCAAAGTAATCTCTCTCATTGACTTAAATAGTCCCCCTCCCCATACTGACGCTATAAAATGCCCTTCATCTGGTAACATTCATCCATTTGGGCAGGTTTCCTATTAGTGGGATTGCTGAGAATATTTTAAACAAGCTAAAACTATGAAGTAGAACATTTTAGGTAGGTATTTTAGGAGTGTAAAGCTTTCAGTGTTACTTCCCTGATTTTCAGTTTGGAGAACCTCCTACACCACTAGACTGAAAAGCAACCTTACTACCCGTGAAGGGCTTTATAAATTAGCGCATGTTTCCTGTCAGTATGTTAAAAACAATCTCCTTTTTTAGATTATTAGCTTACCTCACTATACAAATTCAATTCAGAAGCCTACGATAGATAGGAGTAGATACTGTATGCCGATATAACATCATCAGTTACATGACAACCGGGATAGCTGAGTGTAACTGCTGTCTTGATAGTCACAAATATATATGAGCAGTCAGTAACGGGTTTGAATGGCAATAGTTGGGTAGAGGAGGGAGGAGAGTTAAAACAGACAGTTCCCCGCAGCCCAACAGGGTTGTCTATGTGAAACAGAAGAAAAAAATATCCCTCACCCTCACTGCCTGGTTGGTCACAACCTCCCCAACCACAAGGCAAACAATAAAGTTATTATGCTTTTTCTGACTCACAGTTAATACCTGCTGGGATATTTAAACAACGGAGTATTGTTGCTGTGGCTAAGATTAACTTTTGGTCGCTCCTAGCAGCAGCACAGCCCTACCATAAGTTATAACTTACACCTGAAACTCTCGACCTGCTTTATGAACGACTAATTAAGAGTTAACTAAGGCCTACAACACTTTTTACTGTCAGGAATATTCACTTTTAGTCACAGGCACTCTTTTAGGATTCTTTCACACTCAACCTGTTTGGTTAAAACGGACCCTGGTGTGTTTTCCTTATTAGTGCAGTTCGTTTGGGTTGGTGTGATCGATCCCACAGTAATAATTCCTGAATAATTATGCCTACTTTTAGTCCTGTCTGTATGTCATTTTTCCTAACATGCAGTTGATTTGCATACTAGTAAAGAAATAATCTTTGTGACACCAGAAAACATTAAAGTGCTACATAAACTTTTGTTAGTGATTACAATTTAATTGCTAATGAGGCAGGATGACAATCACCAAAACGGTCCAATCAATAAGTTACATGTCAATCTGTATTCATTCGTTGAAAGAAACCAGGAACCAGACCAGAGATAAAATCTCATGTTGGAAACTCAGCTGAGGACGAGTTAAACCTCCGGAAGCGTTGTTACACCTTCATAAAAAATGAAATGAAAACGGTAGCATACTGTACAGTTACTGTTTGAATGTTTAAGAATGAGCTGCGCTTGGATGGAAACGGCGACAGAGACGTGCCAAAGGAATTCCAAAATAAAGGTGTAATGTTTTCTCTAACAGGATCTATAGATTGATCATTGAGTCCACTACATAGCATATCCTGTTTCTGTATGACTTGTCCTTGTGGATCTCATATTTTCATATGGTGCAAAATTCAGACTTATCTGCTCGGCTGTGAATTCTTACAAAATGGTCCCGTTAAGAGCATAATGGAAATATGTGTAAGCAGAAACTACAGACTGTTAAAATGTGTTACAGAATTGTATTGTAAATAAAATCTCAATTGTATATTTCTGTTTGTGCTGCTTTGCTCTGTGACCTGCAAGTACCCGGGGAGAGTGAGTAACTTATGTCCTATTCAGACATGCATTACGATGCATGTCTTCCAACCTGGCTTTGTGACCCCGACTCCCCCCGCCTTCCCCCCGACCCCCTGGCTTGTGAAGATGCCCAGCTTGGTGAACAGCCATATCTGTTGTCTTCATTATGTAACATATTTCCATTTTTTAGCAGAAGTATGTATGCAGTGGGCCACTACTGCACTACATGTCGTGTTAGTGTGTGAAAGGTGATGACATTCGTTCATATGTGAATGCTGTCCTTTGCATATGAATAGGTTCCAGGCGGGTTGAACACACATCATGTACACATCTCCTTTGTGAAAGGGCCAGTAGTCAAGACTGAGGTCATGTTGGGTTGCCAGTCAATCTGTAATACAGCCATGCACAAAGACTCTATTTTCACACCATGAACAAAGCACAACAGACACAGATGGAGGGCTCTAGTGAGGATTATGCACACTTTGCTGTTTGCTCCAAGAGCACATTAAAGGTCATTATTTGGGCTGTTTTCATCTGGGTTTATTTAGATCTCTTGTTTGGTATCCTATTTTCAAAGTTGTGTAAACACTGTTAAAGTGAAAGTTCACTCAAAATGACATTATTGACAATAGTCTACAGATCTCACTGCGAACTGTTTCACCGAGAGACGCTTTTTACTTTTCTGTCTGCACAGGACACTGTTCACAACAAGATCTGTGAATTATCACAACTCTTTATTTGGAAAGAAAGCTGCTCAGGACAAATGTAATTTTTTGTTACTTTGGCACAGCAAACCCAATGCCACTCAGCTCTGCTGTAATGGGATTTGCTGCAGGCTACATCTTCAAGTCCTTTAGATGGAAAAACAAGTTTTATTGTATCTTTGAGGGATTCACTCTGGATAAGCATTAGACAGCCTCCATCTCAATGCTTTAATGTTTGCCTTTCTGTGTACTAGAGCACTGTGTAGATCTTTGTGTGAACTCTGGTGACTTTGTGTTGTCACTCCTCCAACAGTCACTCCTTCACGTCACAGAAGTGCGAGATCATGTGTCCTGTCAGTTTTACCATTGTGCTGGTGCCAAGTCATAGCCGAGTATCAGATGACTACTACACATGCTGGGAGCTGCCGATGCACAGCTGAAATATCCATGTCAGGGTGTTGATGGATCGCTGTTTCTTAGCAACCAGACTACCTAATCATGTGTTTATCTGCCATCAAATGTGGTTTACTCCACTGTAGCTGCTGTGGTTGGTTATAGTCTTCTAGGAAACCTCTTACCATCAAATATCCAGGAATGTCTCAGTGGGTCTTATTACACTAAACTGCATGGAAAGCTAATTTAGTTTATCATAAGATAGCCTGTGTTGTGTCAGTGTTGACGGCAGACTTTTATTTTTTTTTGCATATGTGGGTGAGGGGAGTAGTTTTGCTATTACCACCAGGATTTCATCAACAGCAGTGAAATCAACTATTAACACCGTTACATTTTGTGATGAAAATACATTGACTATTTCAGAAGATAAGTTGAATTTAGTTCAGTTCATTTTTTTTAAACCAGCATCTTGCTGTTATTAGTGGTACTGCATCTTCTGCTTCAGTCTGTTTGATATGGAACCCTTGAGTACATATTAATGTACGCTTGATGTTCAACTTGTTAACTATCTTAAGTTAACTGACAGCAAAAGCAGATATTGTTTTAACCTCTTTGAGTCATTTTACCATAAAGGTTTTTTGTATTCCAGTTGGCTCCATTTCTGAACAGATTTAAGGCAGAACTGCTGAACTCGAACCTACCAGAAGAGGACAACCTTTTCTAGTTACTTGGTGCTGTAACAAACAATACATTTGATTTATGTTTTTCCGAACCTAATTTATCTTCTCCTGCTCATCCTTTATGACAGAGTCGGTATATGACCTCCTCCCCAAAGAGCTCCAGCTCCAGCCGTCGTCCACCCAGACAGACCCAGCCACCATGAGCCAGAAGAGTGGGGGAGAGGCGGGACCTCCCCCCTCTGCAGCCTTGGCCTCAGGTGAGCTACCTGCTCAGTCCATGAAAACCATGATCTGGGATCAGTTTCCCCTTGCCCAAACTGTTACCCAAAACAGTAGGGGGAGAAGAAACTAACATGGCCTTGTATCAGTGTCTGGGGGCAACTTCACCCTTTCACCAATTTATGAGACAATTAATATTTGAGATTACTAAGGTAATACTAAGGTATTTTAATGCTGCAGGCAAGACGAGGCACAGTCACATTAGATTTCACTCGGGTATATCAGGGATTTTTGCTCGTTCCACAAGGCTATGGTAGTGCCATCTGAGGGTAGGGGGCAGAGTGTTAAAGCAGATTTTAACAGTTGGACTCAAGATGTATTTAAATATATTTTGGGATTTTCAAATTTTCCATTATTGTGCTGTATTAAAGAAACCACCATTAGTGGATACCTGATGTGTCATTGTGTCAGTTAGGTTACCCTGTTTAATAATTTAGATGTTTGTGGGACAAACATCTTCTCTTATAATCCTAGCAGCATGGGAAGAGGCATTGCTTACCTTGGCTCTGTGTGTTGGGCCTTTTTGATATTCACAGCAGCTGCAATAAGTGCCTGCAGCTCTTCACTTAATAAAACTAATTGATTAAAAACAGATGTATTTAAAATTTTGTTTTAGACCAGCTTCTAATTCAGTTAATATCTAACTAATCTATACTATGCAAGTGGCAGAAATAGTGCCTATGTAATAAGGGTCATACACAGTCCTCTTTTCCTGTAAAGCTCTGACTAACAGCTCAAAGTACTGTTGAGTTTGCATTATCAGCATGCTAACATAGCTTGTTCTTTCTCATTTCATTCTTTTTTTTTTCAGTAGCACTTTACCCTGCTTGTGCTTTAATGTTTGTTTTTTTCACTCTGCTTTTTAGGCCTCTAGAAATATATGTAAGTTCTCCAGCTTTAGAGATGCAGCAAAAACCCATGCATCATAACCAGTGCTGCTGATCCACTATTGTCCTTTGGCTTAACCAATCATCTCAGACATCCCTCATGTTATGACATTATATGACATCCCAGTGTCTGTGTGTTAACACTTTCTCTCTGAAGGTGACAGTATTGTTAGGTTTTTGTTTTAAATGCCTTAACAAGTGCCTAATGCAGAAACAGCCTATGCACATTTGTCACTGAAACATACTCTTTTACATACTCATACAACAATAGGCTACAGGATTAATCTACTTCCATGTTTCAAAGCAACTTTCAAAGCGACATTCTCAGAAATTATGATGGTTCTGTCTCTTCATGAAACAGTGAAGTTGCCCCTAACAATGGTTGGACTGTCTTTTTTAAATATCATTTTGCAAACCAAAGGAATATAGTCTGATCTTGGATCATGGTTCAGGGCAGCCAATATCAGCTAAAACTGTGAAGGATTCTAGTCTTGAGTTTCATCTAGACAGCAAACTAACTGATCAACAGTCATGTTGGAAGAGAGCGCTTTTGTTAATGCTACCTTTTAACTATCCTGTCTGACCCAGCTGGCCTTAAGCAGTGCTGATCAAAAGCATGACTACTGTAATGTCCTTCAGATCATCATTAACCAAATACACATGCTTCAAAGTGTCTATAAATGATCAACTTCAAAAGTTACTCCTTCCTTCAGTGTATTAACTCATCCAATTTACTGATTGACAGAAGTTGAATCTTGAATGATCAGCTCTCTTGTTGCTCATTGGCTGTCTCGTTTTTATTGCAGGAAGTTCCCTCTGAGGCAGGGAGTGTCTGCATATAAAATGGTCTGCAGTTCACTGCTCCATAGGTCAGAGGCTTGTTTATTCTGTCTCCATGGCTACGCTCAGTCCCAACCAAATCTTCCAATTGGCATGCGCAAACTACTGTTTACTACTGAATGCACATTGCACCAACTGTACTGTAACCCTGGCAAATTTAATTTGGCGCCACATTACCAGCTTGCAAATTTGGCTGTACAAGAAAAGTTTGACCAGATTTTGTTATGTTTCTTTCTGGCAATGTGTATGTAACAATTTGTAGCTTGCTTTTGTTTTTGTAAACAAAGCATGTCAGTTTTGTCACATTGATTTTAATTGAGAGAGGTTTTGTAGGAATCAAAACATTGTGGGACCTATAGTACCCTTCTCAACTTTAACTTCAGAATATTTGATCAATGCTTGACAGCTCTCGCATGCACAGTGAGAGCACATAACCCACAATAGTCTGTTGAAATTAGAGTTGGGAAGAGGGGAAATCAATACAAATCATGCACAAATTCAGCTGCTTGAATGGGACTGCTAGCCTGCTCTGTGCTGAACATCTGTACTTACTTATTTATCTGTATATACTACTACAGATGCCACATCCTCCACCTCCAGCCCCTCTGCCTCTTCCTCCCTGGCCATGGGAGTCCCATCCACTGGCTCCTCTACCTCATCCTCAGACCATCTCAAGGTTCCCCAGCATCTCCACTCCACCGGAGGGGATGGAGCTGGAGCTTCAGAGATGCAAAGTATGGAAGGTGCTGTATCTGCCCCCAGCAGAGGCAACAGTGGAGCAAACACTGCGACAGGAGACATAGGGTCAGGAGTGTTGTCAGGGCTGGGAGTCCAGCAGCTTCAGAACACCCCATCAAAACGGAGGCCTGTGTTGAGCATATCCCCGCCACCTGAGGATCTATTTGATGACAGCCAGATGTCTTGCCAAGAGGAGCCTACTGTAGCTGGTCCACCAGGTCCAGACTCTGAGCATAGCAGCAGCATGTGGGCTGATGACTCCGTCTCCAACTTCAGCTTGATCAGCTCCATCTCCTACAACGACAACACAGAGGTGCCGCGCAAGTCTAGAAAACGCACCCCTCGTCAGCGGCCTGGCCCCAAGCCTGCTCCTCTGGAGGACAGCATGGATGTGTTTGATGCTGACAGTGCCAAGGCCCCTCACTTTGTCCTATCCCAGCTGGGCACAGACAAGACCAGTCCCATAGCCAGGTGGGGTGACTCTGTTCCAGTGCACATTCTGCCAGCATTTTCACAGAGTATCTGTCCAGGAATACAGAAACGGTCATTTAATTTAGTTTTTGGGGTAATAGAATTTCTTGAAGTCATATTAATGTCATGTGATTTTTGTTGCCCTGCAGCTCTCTTGAGTCAGGGACTGCAGTAAAAGGTGGGTCACTGTCTACTCAGTTCCCCCAGAGGAGTGATGGGAAGGAGCTAAAGATCCTGGTGCAGCCAGAGACTCAGCACAGAGCTCGCTATCTGACAGAAGGCAGCAGAGGGTCTGTCAAAGACCGCACACAGCAGGGATTCCCCACTGTCAAGGTTGGACAAAGAAAGCCACTGACCGCTTCTTGACACAGGAAATACACCTTCATTCAGATTGACTAAATAAGGCAAAAAGAAGCTCTGAGTACTGTTCACCACATATGAATGCTCATACCATTTCAGACACATCTGAAGCATTCACTCATCAATACCCATGAGCACATTAGCTACTTCAAACCTTTATTTTCAAATGGGTAATTTGATATACTTCAACATGGCACATAATATTTTAACAAATTTACAACATATACAAGTTTAACAGAGCAAACAGATAAAGGATCCTTACCTGTTATTGATACTTCTGGGCAGGGAAGTGAGGAAATAGCACCTGCCCTTAATTCAGTAATAAGGCAAAAAAGGGTTAAGCCATTTTTTGTGGCACTCGGTTGCTTTAGCAAGAAACCTTTACTTTTTATACATTTCTTATTACTCTATGACTGGTATGCTTTGGGCATCAAACAACATTATTCTTTAGTAGTGTTATGTTTTTCTATTTTTTAGTAAAGGTCAAGTTATTTGTACACAATATCTTAGTTTTTTCCTTCTTTTGTCCCCAGTTGGAGGGTGTGAGTGAACCAGTTGTGCTACAGGTGTTCGTAGCGAACGATGCAGGCAGAATAAAACCTCACGGTTTCTACCAGGCGTGCAGAGTGACGGGACGCAACACCACTGCCTGCAAGGAAGTGGACATAGAGGGCACCACTGTTATTGAGATCCCACTGGAGCCCAGCAATGACATGACACTTGCGTAAGGGGTTATGGCGTTTTGGGGATAATTTGGGATCAGTTAAATTTTTACACACTGATGTTTAAGAAGTACTAACTGTGCTTGTCATGTATTCTCAATCCAAGGCAATCAACAACAATCCTGTGTTGTTTATACAGGGTGGACTGTGTAGGAATTTTGAAGCTGCGTAATGCAGATGTGGAGGCCCGTATAGGTGTGGCAGGGTCCAAGAAGAAGAGCACTCGCGCCAGACTGGCCTTCAGAGTTGGCATTCCCCAACCTGATGGATCTGTACTTACTCTACAGGTCCCTTCATCACCCATCCTCTGCAGTGAGTAGTTCAGGCACAACATGAACTGAAAGAAGAAGCAAGCAGAGAGTAGTATAAACAGAAGTACTGCATGGCCTTGGTGTCCGCAGCTGTCCGTCTATGCATCTGTTTGGGAGTATATTTTAGCCTTTAAGCTACAGGCACCACAAGGCATCATGAAGCTAAATGCTGGGGAATAGTGTTTCCAGTGATTTGTGGTGCCTGGCTTTTGTTAAATAAAGCATTTAGTATGATGGCCATAGATGTTTTAGTTTCATCAGGCCATAGCAATTTCTCTCTTTTTGTTTCAGTCTTCCACATGCCCTCTGGTAAAAACTAGCCCGGATGTCATGTGAGTTTTGATTCTTTGACTTCTGTCATTCTCCAGCCCAGCCAGCAGGAGTGCCAGAGATCCTGAAGAAGAGTCTTCACAGCTGCTCAGTGAGAGGAGGAGATGAAGTTTTCATAATTGGAAAGAACTTCCTCAAAGGAACCAAAGTTATTTTTCAAGAGAACATTGCAGGTGCTTTAGCCAGCTTAATGTTGTCAATGGTGTCAGTGTTGTCCTTGTATCTAATTTGTGTGGATATGGGTTTCTGTGTGTAAACCTCTGATATTTGTTGTTTTATTTGTAGATGATAATTCCTGGCAAGCTGAGGCAAAGATTGACATGGACCTTTTCCATCAGGTAAATGCAACTGAACTGTTGTTTATAATCTTCTGTTTCTCCTTTAATAATATAAGCTACTGTGTAAAACTTCCCTGCTGTCGTTAATCATTGATTGATCATCTCTTCGTGAGATTTTTGTGATTTCCGTTGTGAATCTGTTTTTCAGAACCATTTGATAGTGACAGTCCCTCCGTTCCACAACCAGTCAATCACTTCCCCCGTTTCTGTGGGAATCTTTGTGATGACCAATGCTGGTAGATCACATGACGCCCAGAGCTTCACCTACACTCCAGACTCAGGTACAGCTGATAGTTCAAGTACAGAGGTCACCTAGTTCAGAATTTTGAGCCCACAAGAGGATATTCTCATTTGGTAAAAGGTGTATTTAGGGCTTTATGATTATGGCTAATCTGATAATCACAACTTTAACATACTGTGACCATGTTATATGAGGAAAAAAATGTAATCAAATTTTTATTTGTATAGCGCCAAATCATAACAAATGTATAAATCCACTGTTTTCAGTTAGAGCAGATGCATTTAAGTGAAAGGTTTCAATATTTCTATAATCCAGAATTCGTTAATGATCACATAAACTTAAATCACAATACACTCAAGGTATAGACTTCAGATAACATTTATCCTGTGTTTCCAATTTTACCCTCAGCTGATAACTCAAATATCCGGACAGTAAAAACAGAGGGACCCTCACTGGTCAAGACGTGTATATTTGACGGCCAGATCAAATCTTTATCTTCTGAGAGAACTGACTGTGCTAGTCAGCCTTCCAAACGACAAGAGGACACACCAATGGAAGTGTCGAGCAATCCACCGCCCACAGACGTCTTCAAGGTAAGATACCATTCATTCTGAAGAAAGAGGAACCAGAATTATTTCAGAATTGCAGTTGGTAACATTTTTGTTTCATCTGTTTTCCTAGCCCACCCCTGACCCTCTCGTCTCAGTGCAGCAGACCCTGGAGCTCAGCTCTAGTCCTCATCCAGGTGGAGAGTCCTTTCAGAGCCCAATGCCGCTACAACCCGAAGACGTGGAGCTTCCACAGGCGCCCCCTGTCTTCCCTAGCCTGGAGTCTTTAAGCACTATACAGAAGCAAGACATCGCCCCCACAACCTCCTTCCCAGTGTCGGGAGATACTACAATCCCTCCTGTGACACCCGAAGTCCCTCAGCAATTCCTCAGAGACCCTCAGGATAGCTTGGCTCCTGAGAGTTCTAATAATAGTGGTGGGGTTGTAGTTGTGGCCATGCCCCAGATAGCAACTCCCTCTCAGCCCCAGACACAACAGCCACAGGTTCCCCTGTTCCCGCAGGAAGGGGTGGCACAGCTGGAGAGGGCAGTAAGAGAGCTACAAGCTGGAGGTAACACCACGCTCCAGCAGGTTTTGGAGGCAGCTGTAGCCCAACAGCAGCTTAACTCTGTGCTGTACAGCCCCACACCCTCTGCAGACTCCCTTCAGCAGCACGTCCAGGAGAACATGAATAGCCTTAGATTGGGAACTGCAGATAATTCTCTATCGACACAGCAACAGCTACAGATACAACAGCAACAGCAGATACAGCAGCAACAGCAGCAGCAGCAGCAGATACAGCAGCAGCAGCAGCAGATACAACAACAGCAGCAGCAGCAGCAGATACAACAACAGCAGCAGCAGCAGCCGGCTGCAACAGCAGAGTACAGCAGCAACAGCAGCAGGCAGCAGCAATACAGCAGCAGCAGCAGACGATACAA